TCTTTGCTCTGAAATATGAAAGTTAATTCTGTACCTGCTGGTGATTTAATACCAGTTCTGATATGTAGGGGGAGGAAACGATACAGCTTTTAGTCAAAGTTTTATGGTATTTTGATTAAGCAAGTCAACATTTGACTGGCATTTTCTCACATCTAAGTAGGGATTATGATTCTGCTTGTTTCATAGGATTGTTGCTTATGATTAAAGAAGGCTGTATGTAAAGATACTAGACACATTTGTAAGATGGCATTAGGAAAATATAAGGATGCATTTGTATTTGAAAAATACAATGTAAAAGATCATCTGGAAGAAAAGAAGTAGGAGATGAGTGTTCACTGTGGGCCAAGCATTGCTTTTCAAAGTACTTTGTAATTTCAAGGCCCTCGTAAACTGATACATAAGAAAATGGTATCAGTTCTATAATTTTTTTATTCTTAGAAAAGAAAATATGAGGCAAGAATGGCAAAGAGAATTCAGTAGCTGATCCTGAGCACACACATTCTCATTCTCTCTCTTATATGGCTATTCTCTGAAACTAATAGAAAGTTCATAACAGTTTAGTGCTGTATTTTGCTGGTGTGAATAAAATACTCTATTTTGCTGTATTTTACTGGCTACATAGTCAAATGCTCCTCTCTTGAATTCCGTGTGATAGGCTGTTCAGGGTTATAGTTTGCGTTATTCTGTGTGTGTGTATGTTTTTAAAGCTTTGTTACAAAGGCATTTACATAAAGTTTAAAAGTCCTGTGTTAAATTATCCAAAAGTAAAGAATAGTTAACATTGCTAGAACAATAACAAAAACTGACAAGATGAAATGTGGGCTTCAATTGGTGTGTTTTTTTCTGTCTTGGAGAATCATGTTACCAGTTACCAGTTTCATGAATATGAAGACAGTTTTTACATATTTAAATAACCAATGGTTTCTTTGCAGTTAAAATTATATCTTTTTTTATTTCCACAGGTTTATAAAGTTCTAGTCTCTGTGGGCAGAAGCGAGTGGTTTGTCTTCAGGAGATATGCAGAGTTTGACAAACTTTACAATACTGTAAGAGACCATATCATTTCTTTCTTCTTCTTTTTCTTCTTCTTTTTCTTTTCTTTTCTTTTCTTTTTTTTTTTCACTCTGTAGAATAGGCTGGACTCAAACTCAGAGATCCACCTGCCTCTGCCTCCCGGGTGCTGGCATTAAAAGTGTGTGCCACCACTGCCCGGAGAACTACATTTCTGTTTAAAGCTAAATACTTGAGAAAACTCCCACGAGCTGAGAAATTTATTTGAATGAGTAAATCAATAGATATTACTAAGCAAAAAAGGGGAAGGGATCCTTCAAAGGCATCTTAACTTAGAGTCTTTCTGTGAAACGTGGAAAGACAGTTCCGCATGAACAGTGAGATAAGATGAAGAGCTCAAGGACAGGGTCCAACGACATTAGGTACAAATGTCTGTGCCAAGTAATAACGGTATTCATCAAGGCAATACTGTTTCAGATCTCAAAGTGTCAGCTACACATTTTGTCAGTTCTGGGTTTCAAGTACTAACAGGTTGAAATGAACATTGCCTTTCCAACGGTCCACTGCAGTTCGAAATCTAAGAGACCATCAGCTGTCTGACTGAAGCCATTTTTATTCATAAGCCAGCTATTAAATAGTTCACAAACGTCTGCAGTACGATACCAAGGCCATTGAAAGGCATTGGGCCAGATTCTGCCAGGCGCTGACTCTGGTTGAAGACATTGTCTTAAAAGTCTTTAGATGCTCAAACCATGTCTTTTGATTCAGAAGCCTGGATTAGTAGTAATTATGTTAATTACTACTATAATAATATTATATTAGTAGTAATTATATTAATATAAACAAGAAAACAGTAAAATATTGCCAGGTGATGGTGGTGCATGCCTTTGATCCCAACACTTGGGAGGCAGAGGCAAGCATATCTCTGTGAGTTCCAGGACAGCCAGGGCTACAGAGAAACCCTGTCTCAAAAAAATCAAAAACAACAAAAAGAAAATAATAAAATACTATGACTGTCTTCAATTACTGTTACAAGACTGTTTGTTTCATGTTACGAACCAGCCCATTGTAATTTGGGCAAAATGAATTCCCTTTCTCTGAAAAGTTGTTTCTGAAATCCACAAAGCATATTTCTTGAGGTAAAAGGTGAGTAGCACCTGCAGAGCCTGGATACCATTTCCAGTCTTAAGTGCTTAACTAATTTACCTTCTTTAACTGCACAACAAGAAGCTCAGTTAGCCTATCCCCATTTTACAGACCCAAAAACCCTGGCACAGAGATGTTAAATAACCTGTTCAAGGTCGCATACATACTAAACAATTTATGGGACAAAATAGGATGATTAGTTAGTCTGTGGCATTTTATTCATGTATATTAGTATTATATGTCATGTCATACTTAAAATCTACCTTATAAAATTTCCTTAAGATCATATTGTGTTGTGCAGGCATAAATAGATTTAGAAGTCAGCTCACAGAATGCTGTTTTTATATTCAGTTAAAGAAACAGTTTCCTGCTATGGCTCTGAAGATCCCTGCTAAGAGAATATTCGGTGATAATTTTGATCCGGGTAAGCAAATGCTTCATGGGTTGACTACTGCACTCTGGGTGAAGTTTGGTGGCATAGGTCGTGGGTTCATTGAAGACTATAATTGTTCAGAACTTTTTGTTTTTAAAAAACGAATCTTGCTATGTAGCCCAGACTGGTGATCCTCCTGCCTTAGCCTCAGGAATACACTGCTGCTGCACCTGTTTTGTCCATGAGCCTATGATGTACAATTTGCTTCTCTGCTAAGAAAATGTCTCTATGATGTGCTAAGGATAGATGACAAATGGTTCTCCAGTGATAGGCAGCTTCTAGTGTCATGCTCCCTGGCCTCTGACTGTGAAGCCGTAGTTTCCTGAAGTTTCTACAAAAGCTCTTGTCCAAGTTCAGGTTGCATGTGCGGATCTTCAGTGTTTAAGCATTTATTCCTCCCTCAATAGCAAATGGCAGTTAAGGACTGGCTTCTTAACCAGAGTTTACCGCTTTGTGCTTGCTTGTTCTTCTATAAATGTTTCTTGATAAGTCCGTAGGCTGACAGAAATATGACTGCCAGTGTGCGTCTCTCTTGCAGATTTTATTAAACAAAGAAGAGCGGGGCTGAATGAATTCATTCAGAACTTGGTCAGGTATCCAGAGCTTTACAACCAGTAAGTACTTTCCCTTTTTTCTAAAGGGACAGTGAAACCAAACCCAAAAGTCTTGATTAAACTTCAGGAAGAGTCTGTACTTTCTGTGAAATGTTACCATGTGTGGACTTTCCTAGAGCACTTTGTCCTAGTGCTTTTTATCCACTTTGCCTTCAGCTCATACTTTCCCTTCCTTTTGCACTTGTATAATGTCTTAGCTGGGTTTCTATTGCTATGACAGAACGCGTTCTATGATATAAAACAAGTCAAGGAGGAAAGGGTTTATTTCGTCTTACAACCCTCAGGTCACACTCTGTCACTGAGGGAAACCAGGGCAGGAACTGAAGCAGAGGCCGTGGAGGAACACTGCTGACTGGCTTGCTCCTCAACCTGCTTTCTTGTATGCCCAGGAATACCTGCCCAGGAAGCACCACCCCAGTGAGCTGGGCTCACCCACATCAATCATTAATGAAGAAAAGACATTGCAGATTTGTCTCTGTGAAGCAGACACTGTGAAGGCACTTTCTTAATTGAGAATTCCTCTTCACAAGGAATGTGGCTTGTTTCAAGTTGACGCAAATACCAACCAAGACATAGAAGTTTTATGGATTACTGTTTAAATAAATTTGCATTATATAGTTAAAACATCTTGCTAATTGTTTAATACTATATTTATCCTCATTATCTGCTACGTCGTTAGGATTAAGCTATGAGTGTCATCCATATGTTCCAGAAGCATAGGCAGTTTCACTCTGATCCCCTGTCTACCCACTCTTCTGAGAGTCTCTGAGCCTTGCAGGAGGCAGGGTGATAATATAACATCCCATTTGTGGCTGAGCACTCCCCTGGCTTAGTCTCTTCACTTTGATCACTTGTGACAACAAAATTTTTTGTATGCACATATACTTTATAAGTAACTGTCTTCTGTTCAAGATAGAAGAAATTTCCAAAATCCTACGAACAAAAAAACAAGTAGGTTTAATCTTAGTTTTTAGCTGACATTGTCTTTTTAAAAAATGAGTCACTTCGTATTTTCTAGACCTCATCTTTTGTTGGAAAAAAAAAACAACTTAGTTTTTATTTTAATATCAAATTATCTTAAAATACAGCATATAAAAGAGTAAGATGCCAAATAGCAAGTGTAGCATTGGGCACATACTGTGTGCTTATTGCTGCTGTTAGGGAAACACACTTTAAAATGGCTTTACTATCCATAGGGATGCATGCATATGACCCCATAGGAGCAAGACAGAGGCAAGAGCATAAGAAGGTCAAGGCCACTTGGGCTATATTAGACCCTGTCACAAATAGCTTTGTTTCTCCAAGTATTGCCAAACTGCTCTTCAGGAAGGTTGCCTCATTCTCCATCTTACCAGCAGCACATGAGCGTGGCCCTTCCCACTTTGAGTTCATTCTATCATTCTGATTTTGCTAGTTAATGAATGTGAAGAGTATCTCAGAATCAGTTTCTGTTTGACTTACCTCTTCTGTGAACCCTCTGTTTGTATCTTCACCCGCTCCCTTGTTGCGTTCCCTCGTTTTAAAATCGGAACTTCTTTATTCCTGTTATAATAAGGAATAGTACATTTTGTAGTTTTCTTGCTACAAATGCTAATATAGTGGTTTCTGCTTCATTTCCTTTTTAAAGGGAGACGGGATACACACATGCTGTCAGAGTAATACGGTAATCTTTGTTTTCAGTCCAGATGTCAGAGCATTCCTTCAAATGGACAGCCCCAGACATCAGTCAGATCCATCTGAAGATGAGGATGAAAGAAGTGCTCCGAAGGTATCAGGGGCGCTGTGCTTCTTAGCAGCAGAGCAGCTGTCTTACCTTAGACCAGCATTGATTCAGAACAAAGTATACATGTCTGTTCTAGGCTTTCTGCACTGCAGAGCACCTAGAAACAGTGTTGTACCATTTATTGACTATTCTTGCCTTTTTTCTTTTCATGTGTATGTGTGCGCTATTGTATGATTTATATGTGGGGACGTGTGTGGAGGCCCAGGGTTGATACTGGGAATCTTCTATAGTGCTCTTAGCATTTTACTCTATGAAGAGGGGTCTGACCTATACCTCACCAACATGGCTAATCTTGCTGTCTTGCTGGCAGTTTGCTGTGGGGATCCCCATCTCCACCGTCAAGGCTAGAACTATGGGTGAGCCACCATGGCCACCTGACATTTATATGGGTTCTGTGGATCCAAACTCTGGTCCTCCTGTTTGCTCGGCAAGTGCTCTAACTACCGAGCCATCTCCACAGCCCCCAATCACTATCTGTTAATGAAATACGTAGAAATTGCATTTTCATAGTAAAAAGTATAGTGCAGGTTACTCTTAATATTGAGACTAAGTAGAATAATTGTGGAGGTCAGAGGACAACTTGTGGGAGTTGATTCTCTGCTTCCATCAAATGGGTCTCCGGGGAATCAAAGTCAGTTCATCAGGATTGGTGGCAAGCGCCTTTACTTGCCCTACTTAGCTATCTCACCAGCCTAATTACTAACCAAATGAAGTTCATAGCTTGAAGAGTCCTTGTAGGTGTCTAGCACTAAACCCCTTTAGTTTATTTTTAGAAAAAGTGACTTTAAGGAAATTTGGGGTGGGGTATGTGCCATGGCATGTACAACTTTGGGAAGAGGGTTCTCTCCTTTTGCCCCATGAGTGCTGGGGATCAGACTCGGGTTGCCAGGTTTGGCAGCAAGTATCTTTACTCACTGAGCCATCTCACCAGCCCTAAGACCCCTTATTTTATTTTGTTTATTCATTGTAAAGATTATCTTTATTTTTTATCCATATGGGTGTTTGCCTGCAAGCATGTGTGTGGTGCCTCTGGAGTCCAAAACAAGTGTCAGATCCCCTGGAACTAAACTTAGAGATGGGAGTGGGCTGCCCTGTGGGTGCTGGGAAATAAAACCAGGTCCTCTGGAAGAGCAGCTGGTGCTCTTAACCATTGAGCCATCTCTCCAGTGCCTGTCACCCCCTTCAATTAAGGAGAAAGGTATAAGTCAAAAGAAATCAAGAAACAGAGTCTCAATTAGTTGTCAATAAATTTTACCTTTCAGTGCAATGGTTGAATATTATCTCTTAACATTTGATACAGTGAAATACTGTCTAATTTACATTTGACTAATTGTCACCCTTTCAGGGACATGCTCCTCTAGGAAAATCATTACCAATTGTTAAATATTAGCTATATATTACTATCAATCAGGGAATAAATTGCCCATTTTGTTTAATCCACACTTTTTACATCTATGTAAGAAAAATCCTTTTAAAGGAAGTAGAGTTATCAGATTCTATAAAACAATATATTATTTAATCCTAAAAGCTTAATCTCATGTTAAATTAAACTATAGCAAATTGCATTCCATGAACCAGGTTATTTACAGATTGATTAGCCTTGAATTTCACTGTTATGATTCATGTATTTCTATCTCTGAGAATTGAAAATTTGTTGTGTAAAAGTTTTTCATATGGAGGTGTTAGATAGGAAATAAGTTAGGGTTAAGACTTTAAAGTTAGCTTTAATGTTTTTTAAATAACAAACCTACTTCCAAACTTTTGAAGGATGAGAATGTCTGCCATTTATTTTTTATAAAGTACTGTGTCTCCTAGAGGTTATAAATCTGAACTCTGAGTAAAAATACAAGTTTACATGGAATATTCTTGTGAATGTGAGAATTTACTAAACACACATGCGGATCAGTTAACTTCCTTATGTATAAAGAACTTCAAGTGGATTTATGGGAAGCAAATTTCACTCACACTTGGCTTTTGTGAAAGTGCCTACTATGTGATGGGTTTGAGGCTCGGAGGAAGAGTGTATGTCAGAGGCACTGCTTTGATCCTTGTACCTCCAGAGAAAACAGATGACAGGATCACTAAACCCAACTTGTGGAATTGTGAGTTGAGTTCAAGCTATGACTGAGCTAGGATCTGTTAGAGTTAAACTGCTTTGTGGTGTAGCAGTTAAGTAAGGATTCGGTACTGAGTTAATCCTGGTCTTATTGGGTCTACAGTTTTGGAGCTATTCACTTCCAGGATCAGAGAAAGTCCTGTTGTATTTAGAGATAATTCTACCAGGGGCTGAGAGAGAAATCAACTTGCCAATGGGTGTACCTGAGTTTGGATCCCTGGAACCCAGAGGAGAGCTGAGTCATGACAGCATAGCTCTAGCACCCAGGGTGGAGACAGATCCCAGTGCTCATGGCCCAGCCATTCTGACTGATGCTCCAGGCTCAGAGAGAGACTGTGCTTAAAAAATAAGGTGGAGAGTGACAGAGAAAGGTGCAATCAATCTTCGGCCTCCACTCCTCACTCAAGAATACCTATATTCATAGTCATCATTACCATCATCCTGGCTTCAAACTTTTCTTTAATATTTGAAAAACAATCTGCTATAGTAACCAGTATTTAAATGTAAAAATGATTCCTCGTAGTGAAGTGTGTTTTGTGTTTTCAGTGCTTGTTTCCTAAGCAGCTTTGTCTGTTGACTTCCTCCATTTTCTAACTCTTGAGTGTTGTTTCTGGCTTGCCTTTTTTTCTTGCAACAGCTCTCGGAACTTATCATAACAAAATCGACTGCTTATATTGATTATATTTCAAGAATTAGGACTTTAGACTTCTTTAACATCTATTGCTGTCTATGGTAGTTGTATCATTTTATGTCAAAGCATCCATTGTCTGATTATGATTGACACTAATGAGAATACTGTTTTTCCCTCACTGAATAGCCACATTCTACCTCACAGAACATCAACCTGGGACCAACTGGAAATCCTCAGTAGGTTTACTTTATTTCAACTATTAAGAAGTGCTTTTTTGAGAGTGTGCATTTATGTGAAGCTTAACTGGGGGGCCTGTAGAATGTGTCAGTAGTTACAGTGAATACAATGCTGTCATGTGCTTCAGCGCTCTAGCTGTTTTAAACTCTCTCTCTCTGTGTGTGTGTGTGTGTGTGTGGTGTGACTCACATGCCATGGAACATGGATGGGATAGATGGAAGTCTGGGAGTTGATTCTCTCCTCTTACCATGTGTGTTCTTGGTATAGAACCCACGTTGTCAGGCTTGGCGGTAAGCACCTTTACCCATTGAGCCATCTTAAAAATGGCTGTTTTAAAAGCTGCAGGTTGATCTTTGGAGTCTGTTTCGCCATTGTTACTTCTCTTGCTTTATTTTCGTGTAAGGAAGATCAGCTGACTGTTATTTATGGGACCATGGGTCCTACTCGGTGTCATGGTGGGGAGGGGGAGAAGGAAAAGTGTCCTCACAGACCCGAGTGATGCTCTTCTCAGGGTTGTGCCCTGGTTGTCAGCTAGCTTGTTCCACAGGAGTTGTGATGGATATTAGGATGTTTAAGACTTTGTTTTTCTACTTTCCCACATGTGCTTAAGCGTTAAGGGAAACATTTTGGAGAATAGTCTGAAAAATGATTGAAAGCAAGATTGTCTAACATAGGCTTTATTTCTCTTGTCACCTCCAACAATTCCTTAAAAACCAATGCCTAGAACATTCAGTATAGAGTACTCAAGACTACCTCTAACAATTTGAGGAGAGAGAATATAGACAGGAGAAATGATCCAAGAATTGGGACCAAGGACCTTTCAGTACCATTGAATGAGGGAGGAGCGTCAGGGGAACTAAGAATATGGTGTCATGAAGTCAAGGGAAGAAAATTGTGTCAAGGGGAAGGTGTTTTAACACTGTCAATGTGGCCAATACGGCAAATAAGATAAAGATTGAAAATTGACCATTGGATTTGATCAATCATTGGTGAACTTCATGAGCTGTGCAAGGAGAGAGTTCACAAGAGCCTGAAAAGGTCATCAAGATGGACAGTTCAGCAGCTCACCAAGGAACTCCCCCTGCATCAGGGGACTGCAGGAGGCTTGGCTCGTGACTGGAAGAGGAAGTTGAGTTTTGAGCATTTTTTTCCTACCATTCCTAGTATTGAGCAGAGTGGCATTGTGAAACGAACATGTGTTTTCAGTTAGGGTTCACCACAGCAGTTAGGTGGGGCCTGGTCCTGTTCGCTCCTGGAAGGACTTACTTGTATTTCCGTGGTCACATTTGCTTTCTTTTGTTTAAAACGTTATTTCACTAAAGAACAAAATAGTCCAAAGAACAGGATTTTGTAGAAGAAATACACCTATATTTAGTTAAGTATTTTATGTATCCTTCTTACTTCATTTTTAGTGAACATATAAAGAACATAGTAGTGATTCTTAGGACATTTTGATGTATATAGCATTATGCTTTGTTGATACTTGTCCCCACAACATAACACACCTACTTCCTCCATCTCCTTATTGGCTCCCTTCCTCTCTGCCAAATGGTCCTCCCTCTGATTTTATGTCATTTGTATGTGTTTATGTACATATTGTTAAACCTTGGTTCAACAAATGAAAGAAAACTTATTTTGTCATTTCTTCTGTTGCTTTTTTATTCACAGTTCCCTTACCTTTAGATCTGTGCCTCTTCCTTCATAGTTGTTTTGCTTTTACATTCTCTGTGTGAGAGAGAGAATGTGTGTATTTAAATCTAAGTTATGCATATAAGAGAAAATGTGTGCCATGTGCCTTGCTGAGTCTGGGTTATTTCATTAGTGCATTCTTGTTAATCTTTACCTGTTTTAATATTTAACTTGGACCTAGTGTTAGGATAAATGTGTATGAACAGACTTTAAACCTTTTTCTGTTTCATTTCTTTTCTTTGTGTGTGGTTGTGTGTATGTTGTGGCATGTGTGTGGGTGTGGAGGTCTAAGGACGGCTTGTAGGAGTCAGTTCTTTGCTTGCACCATGTGGTTCCCTGGGATCAGATTCAAGTTATCAGGCTCCGTGGCAAGGCACAGGCACCTTTACCTGTGGAGTTAATCAGATCAGCCTTGTTTTTTTGGTTGGGTTTGGTTGGTTGGTTTTGTTAATTAACTGACATTTCAAGTAAACAAAGTGATCTGTCTAGTACAGCTTAAGAATTCAGCCTGTTTGGGAGGAAACACTCTTAGCTACTTAAGTTCAGCATCCTACCTGCTACCATGTGCATTTGCCAACATAGAGCCAGTGCTATTTTTATCTGCTAGGCCAAAATAAATAAAAAGGCAATGTTCCCTCTGGTGTTTTGTTCCTGGCTTCTCTTCATTGCCATTCGTGAAAACAATCCAGAGAACTCTTTCCTATAATAAGGAACTTAGATGTGAAACACTGGAGACTTCTCCCCACCAGAAAGCTTTCTTGGCATCTTTACTAGGTGCTGGCAACTAGTATCTTGTTTTTCAGAATTCCCCAGTACCAAATACTACTTGAACTTACATAGTTTGGTTTCTTCACAAGTGAAAGTGGTTAGGTTTGTGTTGAATACAACTGTCCTAGAAAGAAACTACTTCGTGAGATCTATCTGTATCTATATATTATAATGCATATAAAGGCTTATCTCCATTTTTTTCTCTTAGAATAGTATTAAGTATCTCTTAGATCTTAAATGGGGCTTAAATAATTTAGTTGGGAAGGAGATCCTATTGCTCTTAATAAAAGCAATGGACTAGTATAAAAGCTCAGGAAATCCTGCCCATGGATTTTGTTCCCCCACATTAATTTGTTAACCTAATGAGGTACAAGAAATGTTTAAATGTTATAGCTTAATTTCTTGAAGACTCATTTTTTTGCTATTGTTAATTTCTTTCAGTGCTAAACCAACTGACTTTGATTTTTTAAAAGTTATTGGAAAGGGCAGCTTTGGCAAGGTAAGGGTTTTATTTTTAATGTTCCCATTCCATGATTAATCACTTAATGAGTTTCTGATTTACATGTGTGAGTCATTGGGCTTTTTTTTTTTGCAAGATAGGGAGTTAATATTCCTTCTCTGCCAAGTCTTGACAGAATTCTTAAGGAGACAAGGTGTGTGCTGAAATTCTAAGATGAAGTGCATTTGTTCAGTGTGCATTTATTGAGAACTTAGTGTGTTCCAAATGTGTGTCAGGGCTCTGTTGAGAAAACTGACTTAGTGATGCTGACAACTTTCGGGGGGAAGTAGTCTGTTGAGAAATACACTCAAGTAAACATAAATAGTAATGGGGCTGTGCTGAAATGAATGGGGTGAAGTGACAGAACAGCAGGCAGTTGGGTTGTCAAGAAGAGCCTTTTTGAAGGTAGCCTTTTTAAATGGAGGGTAGAAAGATTGAAGTAAGCATCCCTGTGAATCATGGAGGTAGGAAAAGCTGTGTGAAGATACTGCTTAACCCCCGGCATCAGACCCATTATAGAACTTGACAGTGTCCAGCCATGCTGGGAAGCTCAGGTTTCAGAAGTGTCATAGGTGAATTTATCTGAAGCACCAAATATATATTTCCTTATATTTGTAGCTTTGGGGATCTGAGTTGCTGAGGGAGCAGAAACTGAGCACACTATTATTTGTGTTTGTTTATTCATCAGATACATAGTGATCACTTGTTACAGGCTGGGCATTGTGCTCATGTAAGCAGCAGAGTTAGAAATGGATCTACTCTAGGTAGTTACAGTTTATCAGAATGCTACAGGAGGTCTGCCATTAAAAATACAAATGCTGACAGAAGTCAAGGAGTTAGTGCCTATCAACCCTGGACAAAACACACACTCTTCCCCCCCTCTCTCTCTCTTCCTCCCCCCCCTCCGTGAGTTCAAAGCCGGCTTGGACAACATAGCATGATGTCATCTCAGAAACAGCAGAAATAAAACTACTGGGGTTTTTGTTGTTTTTTGGAACTCTGTTTATGCCTAGAATCAACAGGAACTGGCTCTTGAATGTAATATGAAATGTAAGATAACTATTCATCTTTTTCTGTGTGGATATGTGGCTGATATTACAGTTTAACTCTGTACCCAATAACACTTACCGATCTACAAGACCACCTTCAACATGTAGCTTGCATTCCCATATGAACAAATCTGGTTTTAGATGTTACAATTTGTAGTTCAGTTTCTAGAGTTTATTTTCTATTCCATTGGTCTACTTGTTTATCCTGGTACCAGTGTTGTATTGCCTTGACAACTATAGCCTGGGAGCCAACACAAGCCTATCCTTCCTTCTTCAGGAAGATATTCTGAGCCCTTTCCATGTCTGTATAAATTTTAAAATCATGTCTATTACTACAAAATTTAGATGGAACTTAATTTGGATTACATTAAACCTGAGATCAATTTGGGTGGGGGGGAGAATTAAGTGTCATAATCTATGGACATGGTATAACCTTTTCAATAAATAAACATTTAAAAATCTTTCTCAACATTTTATAATGTCCTATATAGAATTTTATACCTTACTTATTTAAATTTGTCCTTTGGTGTTTCTTTTTGGACTGTTGAAAACTTGTTAGTTATTGATAATCAGTGTATTTACGACCTGTGACACACTGAACAGGAACACGTATGCACTAGGAAAGGCATATGCAGGCGTGCACAAAGCATCATTATTCCATTTGCTGATTTTCTTCTAGTTTTTCATCTGTTGTCAAATTTGTCAGTATACTAAGTAAAGAAAACGTTGAGGGAAATCAGTCCCTTCTGAGTGCTGTAGTCTTTGATGTATGCTCTTCGAGCCGATCAATGTGTCAGAGAAAGAAGGGTCAAGCAGGTGGGAGTTACCAAGAAAAGGGAGAGAAATTAAGGAAGGAAGGAAGATTGCTCAGCTCAGTGCTGTAGAGAATATAAAAGTGAGGAATGACAAAAATGCAGTTGGGCAATTGCATCCTAAGGGTGTTTTGACTCCATCTTTATGAATTCCAAACATTTTAAAAATCAATCGACTTATTTTGGGGAGAGCTTTCCATAGCATGCCATCTCACACACCTTGTGTTAATATGGTGCATGTGTCACAACAGACCATTGCTGGTGTTGATATTAACACTCATGCATCGTTAACTCAGATTTTGTAGCTTTTATCTTCTCTTTTTCCATCCAGCTACCACTTGACACTTGGGTTTCATGTCTGCTTGGGATCTTCTTGGCTGTCACAGTTTCTAGACTTCCCTTGCTTTTGATGACCTTGACAGTTTTGAGGTCTATTTTTCATGTGTGTTGTAGGAAGCCCCTTTGATGGACTGCTCTGATGGTTTTCTCATGTTTGGACTGAGATTATACCTTTGGACCAGCAGAGAATTGGAGGTTCTAGAAGTAAGCCACATCACTAGTTGATGTGTTAAGCCTGCCTCTGCCTCCCTAGTGCTGGGATTAAAGGCGGGCGCCCGCCAGCCCTATTTTCTAAGCAAACTCTAAGTCTCAAGGCTGACACAATACAGAAACTCCTTGAGTAATGTGTATTTGAGTGACTTAGTAAAAATCTCATTGCCAATTTATTAAGTAACAAATTATTTCTAGCTATTCAAGTAATCAGTACCCTTTTTGTCTTATTAAAATGTCTAAGAAAAAGTAGAATTACAGAAGTGATCTCATCAGTGTTCAATCTTCAAAATACAGGTGCCTGTGGACTTGCCTTTTAGAAACTTTTTAAGAAGCAGTGTGTGTTGACAAGGGAATACCTACAAAGATTGTAAACTCTTCAATTGTTTGCAAATCGTTAACAGGTTCTTCTTGCAAAACGAAAACTGGATGGAAAATTTTATGCTGTCAAGGTGTTACAGAAAAAAATAGTTCTCAACAGAAAAGAGGTAAAAATAAAATAGCTCTTGTTTCCCCTGAGCCAATTTTCTTTATTAGCACTTGTTTTCTGGTATATAATACAAATCGATATTTTGCCCTTTTTTCCAGCAAAAACATATTATGGCTGAACGAAATGTGCTCTTGAAAAATGTGAAACATCCGTTTTTGGTTGGATTGCACTATTCTTTCCAAACAACTGAAAAGCTTTATTTTGTTCTGGATTTTGTTAATGGAGGGGAGGTGAGTTTTATATTAGCTGTCTAATATAGAGAATAACTAAGAAAAAATAGCATGAAATCCAAAAGGTTCTCTCATAAATTTTGAACTGACAGCGTTTGATCAGCAGCTGTTTGTAGAGTGAAAACTGAATTCAGCAGACCACATACCATGCAGGACACAGAGAAGCTACAGGCACCGTGTGTGGTTTTATAGTCAAATTTGTATCACAGGAATGAAAACTGAAATGTTAGAATAAAACACGATGTGTAATTTAGATAATGACTGTTTCAACTATTGCCTGTGAAAGCTAGCCCAACACTTTATTTTCTAAAATGATCACACTATTAATTGGTGAGGTGACCCCTCCCCATAGTGAAGCCAGTGTGGGAATACTTGGTGTTGTGTCATCTGCCTAGTGCCACATAACGTATTTCACTATGTTAAAGATTCTGGCAAGATCTGTTTCAGTGAAAGGATTTTGTTGCTGTTGTTTTTTGAAACAGTGTTTCTCTGTGTAACCTTGGCTGTCCTGGAACTCACTTGTAGACCATATTGGCCTAGAACTGAGAGATCCGCCTGCCCCTGCCTCCCAAGTGCTAGGATTAAAGGTGTGCACCACCACTTCCCAGAAAAAAGGGATTTTTTAAAAGAAAAAGATCATTTTAATCACAGAGTCCCCTCTTTTGTAAAGTCTACTGTCTTTGAAAGGAATCATCTATCCCTCCGTCTCAGTAAGACCCTTTCAATGACTGTACTCTAACTGTAGAATAAAGGTAACAAAAAAGAGAGTGAAATATAAAATGAGTCATAGTCAGTAAAGAAATTGAAATTCTTTGTCAGTGTTACTATATATATTCCATTCAGATTGAAGGCAGGCATCTCAGTCACAAAGCTCCCTCTTCCCTGCCTCCCTGTTTTTGAAATACTCATGGGAGCCATCTAAGGGGCTGAGGGACCACATTCCTCCTTCATCTGTGTTTTCTTCATGGTGCGTTAGGACTTTGCTTTTGGATCCTCTCTACACAGTGGTTGTTCAAACCTGAGCAGAGAAAGTGGAAGGATGCAGGCTTGTCATCTCCAAGATGAGATTTGCTAGGATAATTGGAGGTGGGGGATGATGAATTACTGTAGAAGGTGCTGGTGGGCGTAGGGGGGATAAATGTAGCTGGCAGTGGGTAGGCTGGAAATAAAGACCAGGAAAAAGGGTAGAGGCGAAGGATGGTTTCACTCTGTATTCTGTTGTTGATTTTTCTCTTTTAGGGCATTGTCTTGTTTTCATTGTTTTTGACAGGGCCTTGGTATGTATGTAGTTTTTTTCTGACTTGGCACTTCCTATGTAGCTCTAGCTGGCCTTAAACTTGTGGCAGTCTCTCTGCCTCAACCTCCTGAGTTCCGGGCTTAGAGGCATGTGCCACCAGACCTGGCTCTTGTTTGTTTTTTGTTTAGGGTCTCACTAGATAGCTTAGGGGTAAGCCTCAGACTCAGGCACGCACCACTGTCCCCAACTCTCCTACTTTTCTTGCCATCTTTCCTCCCTGATAGTCATATAATCGTGACATGGCTTATGGAGTTTTTGTGTACTGCTTATTCTCTTCATTAGAGCCAAGTGGAAATACAAAAATAAGTGATGGGATGCTGGGCAGATCAGCCTTCCTGAGCTAGCTTCCTCATTGATTTCCTGCCTCAGGATTATGGGGAAGATTAAATAATACAAGTATATAAAGACCTCAGCATAGTGCTTTGGATTTACTAAGCCATCTACAGAGGCCTAGGATGCTAATTATGTGGCAACACCAGAATGGTAGGTTTTCCTTAATAAGCTCCTCTAAAGTGGTTATCTAGAATGGTATGGAGACGGTCACATTGAGCACTGAGAGGAGTATATGGGAGATGGGAGAAGTTGGTGAGGGCGATCAGAGATGCATGTTTGAAGACAGACAGTGCAGTAGCTTCTAAGAGTTAAACAGCTGGAGATGAGAGAGATGAACACAGCAGCCCTGTGCTTTTGTGTTCAAAATATCAAAAACAGCATTTCTGTGCAATGCCACATGTAACTGATGCCAACAGCCTCCATTCCTTTTGCAGTTGTTCTTCCACTTACAAAGAGAACGGTCTTTTCCTGAACACAGAGCGAGGTTCTATGCTGCTGAGATCGCTAGTGCCTTGGGTTACCTGCACTCCATCAAAATAGTGTACAGGTGAATCACTTGTTTACATTACATGGAAAATACCTCTCAAACATTTTATTTCAGGCAATACTCAGATTTTTCTCTTCTTCCACTTTGATATAGAGACTTGAAGCCAGAAAATATTCTCTTGGATTCAATGGTAAGTGTTACCTTCTTGAAAAATCTTGTAGTTTTGTTGTTGTTGCTGTTATGCATGGTAGGAAAAATGTCCTAGAGTGTAGACTGAGTTTCTTTCCCCCCGGTCCCACAGCCATTTAGCCCCAAATGAACACACAGAGGTGTCTATTAGTTATAAACTGTTGGCCAATGGCTCAGGCTGCATATTATTGGCTAGCTCTCTTAATTATTAACCCATAACTACAGTATTTCTACAGGATTTTCTCTTACCAGAGAACTTCCAGAGTCCTGTCTTCCCAACAGCTACATGGCATCTCTCCTCTGGTCTTTTCTCTGATCTCTCCCCAGAATTCTCATCTTATAGCCCCTCCTATACTACCTGCATGGCTACTGGCCAATCAGTGTTTTATTCATCAACCAGTAAGAGAAGCATACATCCCCCATCACTAGAGGTTCCACACTGTATGACTACATTTCTGTAATATTCTTGAAGTGACATTAGGTTTGGGGGAGTCCTGTTTGTGTTCATAAGGGGACAGTGTTGAAAGAAGAGGACCCACAAAGATAAAGGACTAGCACGGGGTCCCCTTGTGATGAAGTAGTTCTCTATCGTGACTGCTGAGTGGAGCTACAGCAGTACACATATATTGCACAGCACTACACACACAGGGTTATGCACATTCAAAACAGAAGCACCAAATAAGGTCAGAATTATAGTTAGCAGTTTTGTACTAATGATGGTTTCTTGCTTGACATGAAAGAAACAAAATGTCAGCTTCGGTGTAGGCTGGATGAGGTTACACTCTATACTGTTTTTGTTTTTATAATTATTTTAAAAATCAAAAGGTCTCAAAATTATTAGTTCAGGTCCAGGGATATAACTCAGTGAATAGAATGATTGACTAGCATGCAAGAAGCCCTGAATTCGCCTTACTGAGGAAAAACTGGGCACAGTTGCACATGCCTGTAATCCCAGCACTTGGAGGTGGAGGCAGGAGGATCGTTCGTTCACTATATCCTTCACTGCATAATAAGGATAAGGCCAGCCTGGGCTATATGAGACTCTGTCTCAAAAAAAAAACTAAAAATAATGGGCTGGCAAGATTGCACAGTGGGTGAAGGACAACTTGAGTTCAACCTCCAGTACCAATGGTGGAAAGAGAGCCAACCCTTAAAAGTTGTCTCCTGAACTGCACAGGCATATACTTCTCTTTCTCTTGATCTTTTGCACACACTTCCCTGTCTCTCTTTTTCTCCCTTGTGTGTTCTCTCTCTTTCTCAATAAACATAATAAATAAATGTTTTTAAAAGGTTAAGTGGCTAGAGGGATGGCTCATCCCTTAACTTAGTGGTTAAGAGCACTTACTCGTCTTAACAGAGGACCCAGCTTTGGTTCCCATCATCCATATCAGGTGGCCCACAAACACCTGTATTTCTTTTCTTTTTTCTTCTTTTTTTTTTTCTGAGACAGGGTTTCTCTGTGTAGCTTTGGAGCCTATCCTGGCACTCGCTCTGGAGACCAGGCTGGCCTCGAACTCACAGAAATCTGTCAGCCTCTACCTCCCGAGTGCTGGGACTAAAGGCGTGTGCTACAAACACCTGTATTTCTATAGCTGTGGAAGGTCTGATGCCTTCTAGTAGTCTCAGGCATTGGCCTTCAAGTGGTATATATAGACTCACCCAGGCACACATACATACACATACAATGTAAATGGAGTTCTTAATTGGTCTCAGTAATAAAAACCCGGAGTCAGATGTAGAGGGGAATGCTGAGAAATCAGAGAGAAGAAGGAGCAAACCACAGCCATACCTTACCTCCTTAGTGTCTCAGCAGACACTTAAGTGAGTTCCTGTTACTCCCTGCTTATATCTTGTTTCTGCCCAGGTACCTCACTTTCCATTTGTCTGTAGAGACCTCCAGACCTCTGTGGTTAGGTAAATGGCAAGCTCCATTCTCTGACCTTCAGACAGGCTTTATTTGTACAAGCAAGATACCACCATAAAAAGTTGTTACGGTGTAAAGCTTGTGAATTCATGTCTATGCATTGCTTTATCTCACTGCCCTGTGTTTGTTAGGGGCATGTTGTCTTAACAGATTTTGGGCTTTGCAAAGAAGGAATTGCTATTTCTGATACCACCACAACCTTTTGTGGGACACCGGAGGTAAGAAATATGTCTGATCATTGATATAATTTATAAACTATAATACAAGTCACACACTGAATATACAAAAGAGGCAAAATAAAACTTACTAGATATTCTAGCTTTCTGGGGATTTCGAGTGTATAGTGGGCATTTTTCACTCTGGTTGTGAAATGCCACCAAGACCCTTTTGAATGATATTTTAAAGATAACATGCTTAATTTTTTTTAGTATTAAAAGTATGCCTTGAACGTCTTTAAATGTTTAATTGCATTTCTAATCTTTCTAAAAAGAATTCAAATAAGCAAAAATGTCCTAAAATTCAGTGGGGATAATTGCACTATACTTCAAATATGCTGACTGCATTGAGTTGTACACTTTAAAGAGTATTAAACAGTACAGAAGTAACTTACTACAGCTGTGTTTAAAATGAGCTGTATCCACGGCTCAGCAATTAAGAGCACTTGCTGCTCTTGTGCAAGCTTGGGGTTCAGTTCCCAGTATGCTCTATGTGGTTCACATCCATAAATTTCAGTTCCAGAGTATCACACACCCTCTGCTGGCCTCTGAGGGCACTGCATGCATGTGGTGCACATACATAAATGAAGGTAAAATATACACACGTAAAAATTAAATAAATCTGCCTGGCGTTGATGGCGCATGCCTTTAATCCCAGCACTTGGGAGGCAGAGGCAGGTAGATCTCTTTGAGTTTGAGGCCAGCCTTGTCTACAGAGTGAATTCCAGGACAGGCTCCAAAGTAATACAGAGAAACCCTAAAACAAAAAGAAAACAAAAATCTAAAGATAGTTTTTAAATTAGCTTAATAGATATGGGAAAAACATTTTGTAATTGTGTAGTGATTTTTATTGACTTTGGTTAATTTTTAATACGTGGTTGGAATATTATGTTAAAGTCATTTATTTAGTAAGAAAATAAATCAGTATATACGAAAGAAACTCACAAATGAGAATTTACCAGACACATCCCATTCTTTCATCATGTTAGGAGAAATAAAGGTGTATTTTATTTTTAATAGTAATCCTTATAGTTTTCAATCTTTCTGTATACATGTATTGTGCACATATGGAAATGTCATATAACCTTTATTAATATATGTAATGTATGTGAATTTGTGGTGAGGTTTTTGTTTTTTTAACAAAGTAACAAGCTTTCTAAATTTGCTTGGGAATTGACTACTATGAATCTTAATAATAATTCTCGGTATGAAGGGGAAAAATGAGTAATTGCCAAATTAAGAAAATTTGTTTTGAACCTGAGCGTGGTGGCAGGGAGCTCCTTTGAGCTAAAGAGTCCAAGGCCAACTGCAGAAATGCAATGAGAGAATGTAAGCACAGATGAGCTCTTTAAGTAGCAACATTTTCAGTAATAAGCAGATGGATTTTTATTTATTTATTTATTTATTTTTTGAGACAGGGTCTTATTTATCCCAGGCTGACCTCCAAGTCCTGATCCTCACATCTTCCTTCTCAAATTCTAGGATAACAGGCATTTACTGCCATTCCTGTCTAAATTCCAGAACAATAAAGCCAACAGAAGACTTTCTGCCAACACATACTCGGCATTATGGTCTTACACTTTCAATCTTTTCTTAATGGCCTTAACTCTGGATAAAGTTCTGTGTACTTGATTTTATGTATTCCAGTTGATGTCACCAAAAAACCACTGTGACAAAATGAGAATGTACAACTCATTGAAAATCTAGATACTATGTCTTTAGTATGAGTAACAACACCTACAATTTGTTGGCTTTATCGATTCCTAAATTCTGCCTTTCATTCACTGAGTTTTCTTATTTGTCTGTAGTACCTTGCACCTGAAGTGATCAGGAAACAGCCCTATGACAACACTGTGGACTGGTGGTGCCTGGGCGCCGTTCTCTATGAGATGCTGTATGGGCTGGTATGTATTTCTACTCTTTATTGTTCCAGTGCACTACTGATAATATACTAATGAATAATCTCAAAGATGCTGGCCTTGTTAAATAAATCCAAAACCATGTTAGGAATACGCACATGGAAGGAAACTTTATTTCTTTTGTGGGGGGGAGAGTTTCAAGACAGGGTTCCTCTGTGTAACAACCCTGGCTGTCCTGGAACTCACTCTGTAGACCCCACTGAACTGGAACTCACAGAGATCTGCCTGCCTCTGCCTCCCAAGTACTGAGATTAAAGGTGTGCACCACCCACACCTAGCAAATTTTATTACTTTAAAACACCAATATACTGTTTCTGTGTTTCTTTAGTCACTTCTCTTCTTCTGGCAGTTTTAGAAATAGAAACCTAGTCGCCACGTGTTGGTGGCCTACACCTTTAATCCCAGCACTCGGGAGGCAGAGGCAGGCGGATCTCTGAGTTCGAGGCTAGCCTGTGCCAGAATAGGCTCCAAAGCCACAGTGAAACCCTGTCTCGAAAAACCGGAAAAAAAAAAAAAATAGAAACCTAGTCATAACATTGAGTTTACTTGTTTTCTTTCAGTTTGTTTATACCAAGCATCACCTGCCTAATTTCAAAACAATGGAAATACAGAGTTTTCATTTATTAGCATACTACTATGTTTTAAACCTTTGGGTTTTAGCCTTTCTGTTTTTGTGGGATACCGCCTGTTTCCCTTCTCTGAAACCATCATGGCTTAAAGAATTCACTGAAAAAAAATTATGCTTACTGTGTAATTATGCTCACAGTTTTCAGTAAGACACTTAAGGCAAGCCAGAGCTATTTGTCAAGTATGTGTGTGTGTGCTCGTGCGTGTGTGCGTACACACAGAGACAGGCCAGAGCTCTCAGTAGTGGGGTTATAGGCATTCCTGGAGATCTGAACTTAGGTTCTCATATTTGTGCAGCAAGCACTTTAGTGATTGAGCCGTCTCCCCAGCCCCTAAATTTTACTTTTCTTTGTATCTTTGAGTGTTTGGGGTTGCTTTCCAGATACATGTTATGGTCCTCTAAGTAGACAACAACCCCATGCAGTGACCTCCAAGGTGGCAGCCAGTGCTGGTTCTAAATACACCATCATCAGCTAAGGAGACAAAGAGACAGAGAGAGAGATAGAGACTCCTACAAACATGGAGCTCAGTGAAGTTCAGCATATTTTAGATTCCAAAGAATAATAGACACCGACAGCACTGTCCTTCACTCAGCTGTGGATGGCTTGTTAAAAGCTACCTTTTAAGTAATGCTAGTGACAATGGATGTCAGATAACCACTTAATACCTTAACTTTATTTAGGCACTAATTGTCATCTAGACATGTCAGAAGAATCCTTTGTATTTCCTTGAAGGACTTTGAAGTATAAAATAAGATTATATTTTAAAAGATAAAATTTTTTCTTATAAAAAAACTGACAGGGCTATAAAACTTCCTTAACTTTAAATATTATTTTTATTTCAGAACTTTTAGCTAGATAATTAGCTGTAAGACATTCTCCCAATTCTGTAATCATTGCATGTACCTATGAAGGAGCACTGTATTCAGGTCTCTACTTTTTTGATGACTTTATTCTTAAATTTTAAATCATTTGATATTTGATCTGTCTGGAATGCCTATTTCCAGTGACCCTGTTGTCATACCTATGTGTCTTAGTCACTGTTCTATGACTGTGAAGAGCCACAATGACCAAGGCAACTCTTATAAAAGAAAGCATCTAACTGGGGACTTGTTGACAGTTTCGGAGGCTTGGTCCATTATCGTCATGGTGGGCAATATGCACTGGAACAATAGCTGAGAGCTAGATCATGGTCCACAGGCCAAGAGACACTGGGTCTGCCTTGGGGTTTTGAAACTTCAAAGCCCACCCCTAGTGACACACTTCCTCCAACAAGGCCACGCCTCCTAATCCTTCTAATTCTTCTCAAATAGTGCTACTCCCTGATGACTAAGCATTGAAATATATGAGCCTATGGGGTGATTCTTACTCAAACCACCATACTATTTGTCCAGTCATTGTTTTCTGTAAAACATGGTATTACAAGTGTGTAACTTAAAAGCAGTCTATAAAGAGCTACAAAGATCCACCTGCCTCTGCCTTCCAATGGCTTGGATTAAGGTGTGCCACCTCACTCGGCAGTCCAGCATGCTTTAAACCATTTTCACACAATTCACTAACCTCTGTTGCTTTATTTTGCTTTTTTTTTTTTTTCAGCCTCCTTTTTACTGCCGAGATGTTGCTGAAATGTATGATAATATTCTTCATAAGCCCCTAAACTTGAGGCCAGGAGTGAGCCTCACGGCGTGGTCCATTCTGGAAGAACTCCTAGAAAAAAACAGGCAGAATCGACTTGGTGCCAAAGAAGACTTTGTATGTATCATATTTCTGAGTACCAGTTGTTATACTTATTTAAAATGTGGAGATAAATCCTTATTTATTTGGTATTTAGTGAAATAGTTGTTATTGCAGAGTTGAGGGGAGACAGCATTCTTGTCCCCAGTTTCCAGTAGTGTTTATGAACTTTAATTTAGTTCTGTTTTCACTGGATGTTAGTTAAAGGTTACTGGACACCCAGGCTCCAGATTTTGTACTCTGCTACTTGATTTTTATTTGTGATAGTTTATCTTCCCATCTTCTTTTTATGAGGTCTTCTACCAAATTTCATATTTTACCAACTGTATATGTGGTGGGGGATGAGGGGGGATATGACATGAATGAAATATCCCTTCTCTGTGCTGCAGGACTCTCACTTGCTTGACCAGACTTAACCTCTTAAATGTCTCATGTTTGTTGGGAGCATTCTCCCTTTATTGTCTGGTTGATTGTTATGTACCTTCCAGACCTCAGTAGTCAGGTAGCATTTTCTTTGTGTGTGTGTATGTGTGTGTGTGTGTGTGTGTTTTAAGAAATAAAAGCTTACTTTGTACACTGTGAGTAGCAGCAGACAGTAATGAGAGAGCTGCCCAGGACCAAAGAAATGGCTCAGAGGTCGAGTGCCAACTCCTCCACAGGAGGATCAGTTTGATGCCCAGCACACACCCTGGGCGGCTCATAAACACCTGTAACGTCAGCTTCAAGGAATCTGACACCTCTTCTGACTCTGGACATGTGTACACACACATGCACGTGTACACATGAACACACACATATGTACACACACTAAATAACCTAAATCTTTTTAAAAAATTGCCTACTTCAGACATTGCTTTTTTTTTTTTTTTTTTTTTAAAGATTTATTTATTTATCATGTATACAGTGCAAGCCAGCAGAGGGCACCAGATCCCATTACAGATGGTTGTGAGCCACCATGTGGGTGCTGGGAATTGAACTCAGGATCTCTGGAAAAACAGTCAGTGCTCTTAACCCCTGAGCCATCTCTCCAGCCCCCTGTCCCCACTTCTTAAACCAAGATAATACATTG